GTTTTGTAGGCTTATCTGCAGTTTTTGGAATTTTATTAATTTATGTTGTCGGTTCTTTTTGTAGTATAAAAATGTTATCTTTGATATGTGCGCTTCCAACTTTAGCTCATATTATAATTCACATATTTGTAATCGAATCACCTATTTACTTAATTTCTAAAGGTAAAAAGATAGAAGCTATAAAGGCCCTTGAGAGTTTACGGCGCAACAGAAACTGTCGAGAAATAGAAACAGAATATTTATTGTTACAAAAAACTGTTGAGTCCGATTTAAAAAGAAAGAATCTAAGTATTGTAGATTTATTTAAAGCACGTGCAGGAGTAAAAGCCTTTTTTATATCAGTTACTTTATGCATAGGTCAACAGGCTTCTGGTATCTCAATCATTACAGCTTTCATGGGTCCAATATTTAATGAAGCTGGTGCCAATATGTCTGGCGATAACGTTGGAATTTTAGTTGGAGCGGCACAAGTGCTAACTTTCGCTGTAGCAGCATATCTTATTGAAAAACTAGGACGACGATCTTTGTTATTATTTTCCTCATTTGGTTGTTCACTGTTTATGTTCTCCATGGGCATTTCGTTTTATCTTAAACTTATAGATGTTTCTTTTATAGCAGAAATACGGTGGTTGCCGGTTTTATTTGTCATATTATTTATAATCTCCTATGGATTAGGTTTAGGCCCTATCCCTATATGTGTTATTGGAGAACTATTTCCACATGACTTCAGGTCTATTGGCACAGCTCTGGTTCTAATTCTTGATGGTATTTTACTTGCAATAATTAATTTTAGTTTTCCTTTGCTTTCGGAAGCATTTGGAACTTTTAGCTGTATGTTAGCTCACAGTGTAGTTTCTCTATTGGCTTTTATTGTTTTATATATTTTACTACCAGAAACAAAGGGAAAAACTTTAAATGAAATTCAAGATTTGCTTAACAAATAACAAAGTTTCGGCACCCATTTTGGAGCCATTTACAAGATGCCCCCCAATCGTGATGTACCACTCGTACCATCGTGTTCTGTATAAATACAAGAACCATGAAACCGTGCTGGAGTCTCAATCTAGCTACTCCTCAGTGTCGAGTGACGACCGGTCTTATCCTGTGCGGCTGCTTTTATACTATTAGTAAGTGCGGGAACGTTTCTTTATTTTTTTTTTTCTAAACGAACAAATCCATTATAAATAAGTCTACTCTACCTCCAGATATCATAAAATCTCTTATACCCAGAGAAAAATCATCTTGAAATCCAAAGATATACGGCCTTCTAAAAATCCTTCTTTTTCTTCTTCGGGTTCCTTCTCCTAGCGGAGGTTGGAAATCATCATCGCTATTTTAACTTTGTTGGCCGCATTTCTGAATAATTCTAATGAGCTGCAGCCGAACCACTCTCTCAAATTTCTTAGCCAGGACATTTTGCGTCGTCCTGGGTTTCTCTTCCCTTGTATCTTCCCTTGCATAATCAACCTCAGTAATACGTACTTCTCACCCCTCATTAAATGTCCCAGATATTGAATCTTTCTAATTTTAACAGTTTTTATGACTTCACATTCTTTCTTCATTCTTTGTAACACTTCTATATTAGTTACTTTTTCAATCCACGATATTTTATGCATTCTCCTGTAGCACAACATCTCAAAGGAGTTTAATTTTTTGATTTCAGACTGCTTTATTGTCCACGCTTCCATGCCATATAGTAAAGTAGAGAAGACGTAACAACGTAGCATTCTTGTGCGAATCTCTAGATTAAGGTTACGGTTGCAAAGTAATTTCTTCAATTTTATGAACGTGTTTCTTGCCATTTCTATTCTAGATCCGATCTCCTTTACTTGATCTCCATCTTCGTTAGCCACGTGCCTAAATATTTATATGTTTTTACTCTTTCTATCGTTGTATTATTGATGATCAGGTTATTTACATTTTGTGGTTTTTTTGGAATATCATTGATTTCGTTTTCTTGAGATTCATTTGCAGTCCGTAACTTTCACATGCATTGTATACATGTTGTATTATGTACTGTAGACCTTCCATGTCACTTGCAAATATGACAGTATCGTCGGCATATCTAATATTATTAATGCTATTTCCGTTGACATAAATACCTTCCACGATATCCAATAAAGCCTCTTGAAAAATCACTTCACTGTAGACGTTGAATAAGAGTGGTAAAAGGATACACCCTTGTCGAACTCCTCTAAGTATACTTACTTCCTCTGTCAGTTCTCCTTCGACTCTTACTCTTGCTTTCTGGTTTTGATACAGATTCGATATAATTTGTAGATCTCTACTATCAATGTTTTTAGTCTTAAGAATACTTAAAAGCTTCTCATGTTAAACTCTATCAAAAGCTTTCTTGAAATCTATAAAGTAAGCATATATGTCCTGATTCATATCCAGGCATCGTTGTGTCAGAACATGGACTCCAAATAATGCTTCTCTAGTTCCTAGACCCTTTCTGAAACCCATCTGTGAATCACTTATTTCTTGTTCTAATTTCATGTGGATTCTGTTATGTATGATTTTAAGGAAGGTTTTCAATGTGTGGCTCATTAACGCAATTGTTCGATAAGTCATTGCAATCTTTAGCATTTGTGATTTTTGGAATCGTCACAAAAGTTGAGAGAAGCCACTCTTTGGGTATGTGTCCCGTCTTGTATATGGAGTTAAAAAGGTCTACCAAGACATCAATATTATCTTCATTAATTATCTTCAATAGTTCAATTGGTATTTCATCGGGTCCTGGAGCTTTTCTGCCTTTTGTCTGTTTTATAGCATACATAACTTCCTCTTTCATTATTTCTGGTCCCGTGGTTTCTCCGTTAACTTCTAATAATTGTTCTACTTTTTGATCATAAAATAGTTGTTCAATGTATTCTTTCCATCTACGTAATTTGTCTTGCATTTCAGTTATAGTGGTACCATCTGCATTTTTTAATATCCCGATTGGTTTGTTACGATTTCCTGAAATCATTTCTTTAACCTTCTTATGGGTGTTGAAAGTGTCATACCTTGCCTCGCATTCCTCGATTTCTTGACATTTAATGGACATCCATGTTTCCTTAGTTTGTATTATTTTTGGATAAGTATTTTGTATTGTATGGATTTTTATCTAAAAATCCATAAGCCCCTAAGACCCATCGTCAGTGCAGACAACTGCTTCACTCAGAAATTGACAAAACATCTTGCTTTATCCTTACAATGATTAGCCGAAAACGCCTCGTCCTTTGTCAAAAACTCTTTTCATTGCATTGACCTTTTGAAAAACATTTCTATTTCACCCTCAGATATACTAGAAAGTTTTAAAATTGCTTCTTTATTCATTAATATTTCCATCGATGAAATACATCTTTTTCATTCCAAAATAATTTCTATTGTTAAACCAAAGGTGCCCAATGGGATCCCTCTCTCTCCCGTAATAGCTGATATCTACATGGAAAATTTCAAAACAGTAGCCCTGTCCCGATCAAATCGCAAACCCACCTGCTGGTTACTGTACGTTGATGATACCTTTGTCATTTGGCTCTATGGTAAAGACACATTAGATCCCTTTCGCTCCCACTTAAATGGAATATATCCCAGTATTTTAATACGATGAAAGTTGAGTCTGAAGCGTCTTTAATCCTTGATGTTCTTATTCAGCAACATACGTCTTTCGCTGAACTTTCGATAAAGGTTTAAAAAAAATTTAATTAAAAATCGAAAAAGTTATTATAATTGTTTATTAGGTTAAAAATTGTAGTTGCCTAAAAAAATTACCTAGGCTCTCCTATTTAACGGATTTCAATAATTCAAATTTCATTTGAGATCTTAAAAACCTTTTATGTATTAACTTCTTGGTTGACACTAGCTTTATAAGACGGTGCCGAGTCTTGTTCGTAGCTCAATCTTTCGTAGGTGCATTCGGTCAAGTAAATATAAATCATTTTGATAGTTTATGAACTGTTCAATAGGGAAATTTTTCTCATCAGAGAACACTATCTTCGGTAATTCGCCACGTTCGCTAAGGCGTAACAACTCCTTTGCTCTTTCAAGCCGAACTTTTTTTTGCTTTGGTGTAAGATCGTGTGCTTTTTGAAACTTGTAAAACTTGACCTTGAGCTCCTTTTTCAATATTCGTTCGCTTCGCTGGGATATTTTCTGTTCTTTGGCCATTTGATTACCACTACGACGTGGATTTCGTTCAAGTCGAGCCTTTACTTTCCGAACAATAGATATATGGTTCGGAAAGTAAAGTAAAGTAAAAATAAATAAAAAAAAACAGAAAATTTATATTGCAAAGAAGAACCTATCAAACATACCTTATAAAAACTGAAACCGCTTTTGTGGATGGATATATTTGCAACATGATTCTCTGGAAACATTCATCCCAGTTTCTCTATTAAAAAGATTTTTTGTTTTGTTACTTTTGTACTACTCAGTAATAAAATGTAATGTTAATTTAATTTAAAAATAAAAATTAGTATGCTTATTTATAGATAACCAGATTATCTAATATTAGATATGAGATAGTGTATCTAAATTTATAACAATTTTAGCATAGTTAAGGATTTCTTATTTTAATTTTTTTAATTTAATAAAAAATTTTGAATAAACAGCAGTTACTTTGTATTCCAACCACTATTATATATGAGCAGATTATTATTGTATACAATGTTAGAAACATTAATTCCCCATTATAGTTTCTTTTATTTTATTAAAAAAAATCGAAATACAAAGAAAACTTGGAAACACTGCTGCAAACTAAACAGTAAATGGAAAAACATTGAAAACCATTGAAAATTAAACACCTTACCACTAAATTCAACTAATTAAAGGTCTATATGAAAAGAATAAGTGCACATCAAAAATAAACAACACCCATTACCATCATTTCAGAACAGAGACAGGTGTCAGGTAGGGATGCATAATCTCGCCAACTCTGTTTAATATCTACAGCGAATACATTATGCGAAAGGTTTAGATAAAGGATTATTAATATATGCATTTAAAGAAACCATATTAAATATAATATTTTTAATAAATATTTTAATTCTAAAATCTCAGTAATACTAAATAAAATTAATTTCCCAACTGGCGCAGAATATGGGATCTCCATCAGGTTCCAATGTATTGAGAGTCTTAACTACCACTTCACCTGGTCTCTAAAAAGTATAAAATAAAATAAATTACTCTATAATAATAATTAAAAACTTAAATGGTTCAATCGTCAGAGACTGACCGGTTACTGAACCTCTAAAAATCATACGAACACGCATACGAACAAGCAACAATGAATTTTGCCGTGAATGTCAATTTTGAGATCCCAAAATTTGCCATTCCTATTGACATTTGCCCTGGGCTTCTCCCTAAAACCATTTCAAATAAGAAATGTAGCTGTGTGCATCTTATTTGTAGTCTTCCTCTGCTCCTCTTACCTAACCATGGTCTCCATTGTTGTATTTCCTGGTTCCATATTTTATTAATTAGTCGGGTATTGTGTCCTGTGAGACTTCATTTTATTTTGGCAGCATGTTCTGCATCTTTTACTTTGGTTTTGCTTCTAATCTATTTGTTTGTTTTTTTGTCTATAAGTCTCACCCCGAGCATTGATCTTTCTCATCACTTTTTATGCTTTTACTGTTTTATCCGCATTAGACTTGTGTCTAATGTGGATAATGGTGAGTGTCCACGTCTGTGAACCATACGTGAGTATAGGGAAGAAACACTGATCTTAAATTCTGGTTTTCAAACATTGTTCGATTTTAGTGCTTTTCAAAATCCAACTCAGATTTTCAAATTCTGCTCATGCTAACCTTATTCTTCTGGTAATTTCGGCAGTTTGATTTCCTTTGTTAACTTTGATTATCTGTCCCATGTAGATGTATTCGCTTACTATTTTCCGAAGCTGGAAATAGTTGCGTCATCATAGTCTGTAGTTCTTCAAAACTTGTAGCGAATATTACAATGTCTTTAGCAAATGACTCAGTTTGCTTCCATTAACATTTGGTTAATGTATAAACAAATAAACAAAGGTTTTTGTCAACCGACATTTACTATTATTTGGATACAAAATGTAGATACTAATGAAAAATGACATCAAAACATTAAAAACTGGAAGTAATATTAGACAGCACATTAAAGAAAATGCTAGTATAGGATGAACAAAAAAAAAGCCATGGTTACTTAACATTAGAGATTTAACACCTAAAGAAAGCACAAAAATTTGCCAATATTAGTCACCAACCAAATAGGGATAACTGTTAGAAACTTTTGAAGAGATTATGCTAGGCAGTGGAAAAGTTTTTTATAAAAAATAAAATAGGAATTGAATTCTACATGAAAGCTTCTCGTGAACCAAAACCATTTCTTAAATAAAATTGTATGGTTCTCATTTTCTCCTTACTATCTTACCCTAATAGGAAAAGTGTGCCTATATTGGACCCCTGTCTATTACGGACCCCCAGATTTAATTTCAAATAGGTTGCCGCTTGCGCACAAAGTTTGTAGTCAAAGAAATAAAATTAAAATTTAACGTTGCTGATCTAATAATTTTGGTAACTAATATTTTACTGGTAACATACGTTAAGCTAAGTATTGCTTTGTTTTGTATAAACTACATTTTCTTTGTCAAATACTATACTCTGGTTTAGGTTAAAATGGTTAAAACAAAAGTAGCAGAATTAAATTTACTGCCTTGTCTATTCCTGCTATGTCATATCTATATGACCTATGATGGACCCACGTGTCGTTACCTATGACGGACTGGGGGTCCATCATAAAAAAAGAAAATAAATTAGACATACCTTTTATTTTGCTACTTAATGGTTAACATAATATGTTTTACAAGGATGGCTCCTCCGAGAGGCAACAGTGGAGAGTAATATGAAGCAAGCTTTACAAAGCATTAAAGAAAGAACTTTGGGGTTTAAGCTGACACTAAAAACATTTAACGTTTCAAAAACGACTTTAAAAAGGCGTTTTATTAAAATAAGAAAATATCAAAGGTGATTTGGGATTACGAAAACCATAATTATCCACTACTAATAACAGTAAGTTTCTGACCAAATTATTACTATGAAAACTCGTTTTTTTTTGCCTAATGATTAAAGATTTGCGAAAACTAGTACACAAAGTAGCAAAAAGAAACAATATTAACTACAACTTTAATAAGAAAACCAGGATAGCAGGCTGGAAATGGGTCAGAGGCTGTTCAAAGCGAAATCCTCGAATATCATTACGCACTACAGAAAATACTGCGTTGGCCAGAGCTCAAGCTTTTAATAAACCAAATATAAATGCCTATTTTACTGCATTAGGAAATAAATTATATAAGTTTTACTTTCCATCCAAAAAAATTTATGATATGGACGAGTCTGATTTGATAACTGTGCAGAAGAAATCGCAAAAAATTTTTGCTAGTAAAAACTCGCAAACAAGGAGTATAGAGCGTGGTCCACATGTTACGGTTATATGTGCAATGAATATAGTTGAAACATATGTTCCTCATGCTTTGATTTTTCCTCGACCGAGAAAGAAAGATGATGAAAGACTTATGATCGATTCACCTACTGAACGTGTAGCCTTTGCTCAAGAAAAGGGTGGATGACTTCTACAATCAACAACATTTTGTTATTACTCGATAGCCATATAAGTTTTGAAGCTCTTCAGTTTGCAAAAGAAAACAGTATAATTATGTTTTGATTTCATGCTTACTGCTTTCATCACGTTCAACCCTTGGACCTAGGATTTTTTCAACCATTCTACGGCTAAGAAATTCAGTTATGGCTGCGACATGATTCATTTAAAACAGTGACGCAATTTAAAGTAACTAATGTCATTAATAGAGCATATTTATTTACTATACCATCTAAGTGCTTTACCATCAAAGGCCATCAATGCAATTAAAAATACAGGAATACAATCATTCAATCCAGATGTCTTAAAGGATTGGAATTTTTGCCGTCTATAACAGATAAAGATAGAGAAAATGCTGAACATAACCCACTGCCAGGATGTTCTGACCAGAGCTCACTATTGAAACATTATAGCCATCAAAAATCTCGGTAGAAAATATTTGGCTTCCTCCTTTAACTGGAGCATTTGAAATAACGCAGAAAAATTGTAGAAACCGGGCAAAACAGCATATTTAAATTCGTCGCCAGATATTGAAGATGAAGATAAAAAAAGCAAAAAAAAGGAAACGTATCACCATAAAATTTAAAAGAGATAACTACCAGGAGTTCTGAAGACGATTGTGAATGATCTTTTGAAGAAGACGACTTAGAAGATCTTTTTCTTCTTATAGTGTCTAACCGTTTAGGATGTTGGCGACACCTTGGCAATCTGTATTTCGCAAACTGCTGTTTTAAAAATATTTGTAGCTTTTGTGTTGAACCACATACGTAGATTTTTTAGTCAAGAAATTATTTGCCTTCCTGGTCCCCGTTTTCCTTCTACTTTTGCTTGTAGAATTAATTGCAGCAAATATCCTTCGCTATTCCTCAGCGAACTCCGACAATGCAGCTTGCATTTACTGCAATAAACTCTTTTCGCATTTATGATCTAAATAAAAAAGGTATTCATTGACAAGTGTGTAATAATAATTGTTGTCACACTGAATGTGCAGATGTAAATTCTCGACATAAACAATTTATGTGTGATTTGTGCATGTAATTTTTTATTCTTAAAACTAGAAACTTTTAATATTTTTGTAGTTTATAATATTTATCGGTTTAATAAAATAATTTACTATTTACTTATTTTGCACAAAATTCAGTCCGTCATGGGCGTATCAAGAGGTTCAACATGTGCGCATATATTATGCCCATGATGGACCCTTAACAGGATTTTAGTAAATTATGAATACACTTTTATCATCACTTTCTCTGTAAAATTTGAATAATAAGCATATTGTACAAATAAAAAGATGTTCTGAAGTCATATTTAAAGTCTGTTAAAATTATTATGAAGTTATTTTCTTAAGGAGCCCATCATAGGTACATTTCCCTTTTTGTTTTATATTTGTAATAAGAATTATAATAAATATTTACCCAAAAGCTAATAGATTTAAAAGAAACGGTTCCATTAAATAAATATTGATTTACATCTTCTAGTGGACATTTCCATGTCGTACACGTATCGCTGGGGGATATCTCTAACTCCCACGAAATGCCAAATTGGACAATTTCAGCAGCTGCAGTCACAGATTTCACTGGTGGAACATGAGCTAAAAATAGTTTTTTGTTAAATCGTGTTCTTCCACAGTTAAACACCTTAACCATTTCCTTAACTTTTTCAGGAGGAAATTTATTTTATTTAAATAAAAAAATAAAAAATGTTTACCCGAATTACATTAAGTGGTCACAAAACTAACTTTAAAATAAGTCAAAATAAAAAATGTATTAAAAATTATCCTGTATGATGTAATTACCGACCCTAACCACTACGAACCAAAAGCTAGAATACTAGATCTTTGTTTTTTATTAAATTTAGAGAATCGTTTCTATCTTTATTCAAACATAAACTAATTTGTAACGCCCCTCAAATGCCCCAAATGTTGTATATACATTTGTAATAGTCGAAAAATTGGCGCACCTCAATGATGTAGTACTTCTAGGTATAGTGGGTGATCAAATTGTTAGAACCACCCCATAAAATTTTAAATTTTACTTTTTTAATAATGGTATGTAATTGAGTTACAAAAAAATATTTGTGTGCTTAATTCTATTTTACTGTGATCTAAAACGTTATAAAGTTTACAAATTTTAAAAAAGAAACGAGTAATTACATAAAACCACTGAAAATTATGCCTTAAGCCTATTACTTGGTATTGCCATTGTAAAACAGACATAAGAACAGAAAATTCTTAATACAGAAACTAAAAAACAGCAGAATTCGGCAGAATTGTTGAAATATGGAATACCTAAACTCCGGGGAAGAATCCATTACCTGATAAAGTTGGTATGGACCAAGGAGCAAATGCCGGAGAAATGAGCAGTTGGTCTTATACAGCCAATATATAAAAAAGAAGATAAGAGGAAATTCCTGAATGACAGACCAATTACATTGCTAAATGTAATATATAAAATCCTGTTTGGTATTATCTACACTAGATTGTCAGAATACTCCGAAAATATAATTGGTGATTCTCAAAATGGAGTCAGACCAAAAAGAGCCACTACAGACAACATATTCATACTTAAAACAATACAAAAGAAGTTTTGAGCCACTAAATACTTAACTAAAACCCCGTTAAATGTTCTAATTTGAATTAATATGAATTGCTGAATGAAGTTGCTGGTTCTGAGACAAAGTGTCTACGAGGACTTGTAGCAACTGATTGAAATGACAATAATCAGGCAACATTATATACCTTAGTCCTCATATACCTTTTAAAAAGTTTAAAAATCTTAAGGTTTTTACGTGAAATCGACGATTTTTTACAGATAATAGGCTGGGGTTGATTTATTGGGCACTTGAGACAAAAAAATGTTTTATTTACTTAATCTAGATAAAAGTAGTCTTATTCTGTATAGTTCGTCATGATTTGGTTAATTTCTTTTGGGCTTAACAAAGTTATCGTTTAGATGAAGAATAGATAAAAGCTTGCAAAACAATGTCTAGAGATTTTTAAAGCTATAAAATAATTTCTTAAACCTCTTAAAGCTATAAAAGATTCCCCAAAAATCTTAATATCACTACGCATAATTTGATCATCTTTCGACGATGTTACTCTTTAATTTCGTAGGGTTATCTAAACTACTTGTTGCCGCAACTAATTTTGAAATGTATGGGATTTTATGCTAGATTTAATTTGTCCACTGTGACGTTCTCACAATGGTCCAATTGAGATTCGTCTTTCTGACAGTAATACATTCAATTTGCCGCATCGAAAATAGAAAATTTGTCAGCTTGTAGAGTTTAATCTGAAGTGATTATGGACACCACAATTTTAACAGTCCTTTTTTTTATCAAACAGGTCTGGTAAAACCACTATTTTTTTATTCGCTTTAAAACAAACAAAGACACAAATTAAACTTACATATTCGACTCAATTCAATTTCGACCAATACTTCAGAATTCCGTTCAACTCTGCAAGGTGTTTGTGTACAATCACCGAATTTTACATCAGTTACTTCTAATATTGTTCCTAAAAGTAATAATAATATGTTAAAACAATCCAATAAAATAAGAAGCATTTTATTAATAATTTAAATATAATGACATAGATGGAACCAGAAATTATACCAGAAAAATTAAGAAAGAAAAGTGCCAAATTGACGCTGACGTGAAATGTTAGGTCTAAATTAGAGAAAACAAAGTTAAACCTGTGGCAACTTATCAACAAGTCTAGAGAATTTAGGGTACATATCTAATGCAGCAATAATAGGGTTAGTTCATGTTTAAACCGTTATAATACAGAAAGCGGTGTTAGACAAGAATCGCCCGATATTCTTAATCTATGTATTGAATTTGTCATGAGAAAGTCCCCAAAGGAATACAGTGGTGAAATAACAATAACTTTAAGAAAGGTATTGTTTCGCTTATCATTAAACATACATTGTGAATTCGACAACGAAATTTTTGTACATTCCAAACTGTATTTATAAAACGAATACTGTACTTGAAGAAAACCTTTTCTCTTTAAACTCACTTCCACTAGACAGAATTAAAAATAAAACTGGTGGTGCCAATGCAATTGATTAACTGGAGATTGAAAACAAAGAAATATGGATTACAAATAAACAAAAAGCGACTAACGTTCAATATTTGCAGCATTTATGTTTCACCAGAACACACCAGACACCAGGAGAGAATAGAGAGGGTTTGTAAAGAAACAGAACTAATTACCACTATACAAACCAGAAAACTGAAATACCTAGGCCACGTGATGAGGGGACCAAATAATGAAATTTTCAGACTCATAATACAGGGAAAGATTCGAGGAAGAAGATCTGTGAAGGCAGAACTCATGGTTGAAGAATCTACGTGATTGATATCAATGCAGATCGATTGATTTGTTTAGAGCAGCAAGTTCTAAAATAAAAATAGCCATTAGCATTGCCAACCTTCGTAGGGAGGCGGCAATCTAAGAAGAAGAAGAAGACACTAAACTCTAACTGAACCCGAATTACTTATTCTTCAACAAATTTCCTCACCTCGAATTATTACGGGAGATTTTAATGGCCATAATATTACATGGGATCAAATAAAACAACACAGAGGGGAAATATGTTAGAAAACGTTTTTAACACTATGAACCTATGCCTACTCAACGACGGATCTCCAACAGGGAACAGCTTCTGTTATTTATCTCTTAGTATGCGAACCCTCATTGCTCACATAATTTTATTAGGTAGCACTAAAAGATTTATATAGTAGTGACCACTTCCCAGTCTTCAAAATATACAGTTAATCCAAATACAAATACAATACCAACTCAAAAATGGAAATTAAAAAAGGCAAATTGGATTCACTTTGAAAAAATTATATCAGAGAGAATGAATCAGACTAAATTTCAGAGTCGATTGATGACACACTCACGAGCTTTAATCAGCTTGTACTAGATGCTGCTAATATAGCCATAAGAAAATCTCAACTTTTGAAGAAGCACAAACCAGTTCCCTGGTGGAATATACAATGTGAGGCAGCTATAAAATTAAGTAAAACAATTTGGAACGTATACAAAAAATTACAAAAATATTGATCTATTAACAGAGTACAAGAAATGTAGAGTTGAAGCAAGGAGAATCATAAAAAAGGCAGAACAAGAATCCTGGTAGAAATACATCGTATCTAGCATTCTACTTATCAACAAATCGTAAGTCTATAAAAAGAAGCAACGTTCCTAACTAATTCACAGTTATCTTCTCCTTCTTCTTCTTACGGTGCCTTATCCTTAAGGACGTTGGCCATTACATTTGCCCATTTAATCTTATTTGTAGCAGCCCTGAATAGTTTTATGGAGGTCATGTTCGTCCATTGCCGTAGGTTTTTAAGCCAAGAGGTGCGTCTTCTTCCTGGTCCTCTTTTGCTATTGACTTTTTCTTCGATTATAAGTTGGAGCAGTTCGTACTTTTGATTTCTTATGATGGTACCAAAATATTGTGTTTTCCGTTCTTTTATTATAAGCATAAGCTCTGTTTCCTTATTCATCCTCCGCAAGACTTCCTCATTTGTCGTATGGCTCATGTAGGATATTCTGAGCATTTTACGGTAACACCAGAGTTCGAATGCTTGGATTCTTTTTTGTGTTACTTCTGTCACTGTCCAGGCTTCAACACCATAGAGCAAGGTGGAGAAAACATAGCACTTAGGTATTCTAGTTCTCAATGAGATGCCCAGCTGGCGGTTGCATAGAACTTTTTGCATTTTGTAAATTATTGTACGTGCCTATTCCAGGCGTATTCTTATCTCTAGTGAGTGGTCCCAAGTTTCATTAAGATTACTTCCAAGGTACGTTGTTCTTGTTACTCTTTCCAGATCTGTTCCGTCGACATTGACCTTCACCCTTCCGTTTTGGTGCTTGATGATGACCATCGTTTTTGTCTTCTTTGTATTCAATTTCATTCCAAATTCTTTACAGGCTGTCGTTACTCGGTCCAATAAGCGTTGCAGGGCTTCAGCAATATCTGCCAGTATGACAGTGTCATCAGCATATCGCAAGTTATTTATACATTGGTTGTTTATAATTATACCATCCGAGGTGCCTTCCAAAGCTTTCTCAAATATCTTCTCAGAGTAAACATTGAACAGCAAAGGTGATAGGACACATCCTGTCTTATCCCTTCTCTATATTGATTTTTCCAGATGTTTCGCTTTTTATTCTGATTTTAGCCTTTTGTTCTTGGTAGAGGTTTAAAATGATCCTTAAGTATTTATCGTCGATATTGCATGACCTTAAAATATTTATTAGTTTATCTTGCTTCACCAGGTCAAACGCTTTCTGAAAGTCTATAAAACAAGTATACATCAGAGTCGACATCTCTACATCTGTCAACTAGCACACGTATTGAAAAAAGTGCTTCTCTTCTTCCGAACGCATTCTTAAAACCAAACTGAGTTTGACCAGTGTGTTCGTCTAGTTTATTGTATACTCTATTGTGTATTACTCGTAGGAAAAGCTTCAACATATGATTCATCAGGCTAATAATCCTATGTTCTTCACATTTCTTGGAGTTTCTCTTCTTTGGTAGTGATATAAACACCGATGTTAGCCAATCATTTGGTATTATGCCTGTTTCGTATATTTTGTTAAATATATCTTCCATTACTTCGATGTGGTCGTCTAGTAATATCTTTATTATTTCAATTGGGATATTATCTTTCCCAACAGCTTTTTCGTTCGTTATCTGATTTGCCGCTTTAATAATTTCGTGCTTTATGATATAAGGTCCAGTCGATGCCTCCTGCATGTAAATGTTCGTCCTCACAGTTATAGTAAATACAAATATAATAAATGAACTAGCTGATAGCTATCAAAAATTCTCATCCAGCCAAATTAAGTAACGAACTCTTAACTTACCTTAAGTAACCACAGGAGGAGGCAGTTGCTAGTACAATTTCCTACCAATTTAACCCAATCAATACACCTCTTATAAAGGAGTTTCAAGAAGCACTTAATAGCATGAAAGATAGTTCACCAGGTTCAGACAACATACAAAATAAAATTTATTAAGAAACTTCTCATAGAAGCAAAAGAGTTTCTACTCAAAATTTTTAATATTATTTGGTCACAAAAATCATTACCAAAAATATGGAAAAATGCCACCTTTATCGAGATTATCAAAGCAAATAAAGATAAATTACACCAGATTCATATCGTCCTATCTCATTAACATGTTCCTCATGTAAACTTATGGAAAAAATAGTTAACAGAAGATTAGGTAATATGGACCTTAGAGCACAATGATCAACTTATTATCGAATAAACTGGCTTTAGACCAGGCAGATCTACAAACGACAATATTATAGGTCTATAAAACGCTATTCACGAAGTTTTAAAAAATTTTCAAAAATGTATTGCAATTTACTTTGGGAAACTAAAGCATTTCATATTGAATATTCCAAGAAAAATGGATTATTAAGGAAATATTTTAGCCTACACAAACAATTTTATAATTAAAAGACCATTTCAAGTCCGAGCGAATGGTGATATATCCCATCTTAGAGAACAACATAACGAAATCCCACAAGAATCGACTATCAGTCCTACTCTATTTTTCCTATCCATTTCAATAGAATTATTAATATTATGAATTAACGTTACTAGGATTAACATTACCCCATCATAAACAAACAAGGACCTAGAAAAAAGTTAGAAAACGAAAACATAGTGGCAGTAATTAAATCACACTGCTTGAAATTAATAGGACCCATCTTATCTATTTCGATATCATTAATTCTATTACATAGTAACATCACTATCACAAATGAATAAAGTTTTATTAATATTTACCACAATCAGTAAAGTCAATTGCACAGTTCGCCATGTGCAATAACACACTTAAAAGTAATGCATATTCCAGCTTCATTGTTTCTGTTCACTTACTCACTGTCGAATGTAAACTTATCAAAATTATAAGTGTATTGGATTTTTATGTTAGATATGCCTGATAAATTTTCAATTTGCTACTGATATGAAATCGTTATTGTATTTACGAAAATAAATATTTTTTATTGTTTTTTGTTTTGTAGCGAATTAGAAACGTAAGATCAAGATATATTTTATAACTTATAATTTTTATGTTACGTAACAGTGTAATTAATTTTTTGTGTTATAAGTATAAGTGGTAATCTCCCTCTCCCTCTTTCTCTCTGTTTCTCTCTCTCTATCTCTGACTTGTCGTTTCCCCATTACTAAGGATCGTGATTTGCTCCAATATTTGTAACAATTTTTCTCCATTGGTCTTTAACTTCAGCAGCCCTGAGAGCTTCGCAGAATGAATTTCCAGCTGAATTCTTAACCCATTAAGCGCCGTTGATGCGAAAACGCAACATTTTAAAAGGAAGTTTTTTATACAACTAAATATTTTGTTTTTAGAAAATTCTTTATATGTTTTAATTCCTAAAGGCTTGATGATATTGAAATATATTTTATAGAACAAATATAATTAATTGTTTATCTATTATAAATTAATTTCTTCAGCAGTTTTTTACATGATTCGTCATGACTATATAATCTTCTTGTAGAATTTTCACTTTGCTTATAATATAATGATTTATATGATTTTTATAAAGCATAAACTACAGATTTAACAATAACCATACAAAAAAAATTAAATAATTTTATCAAGAAAAAGTTACATGCATTCAAACTTATTGTTGCGTTTTCGCATCAACGGCGGAATGTGCTGTCTCTAGGTAATACCGCCTACGCTACGTGACAAATCGAGTGTAACCGTATTTGACTAGTTCAGTCTTCTCTAGAGCGTTTTAGTATAAGCATATACAGCAATTATTGTGTTTCTCTGTATTGTTGCGGATAAAACATATATAATGAGTTCTGGCAAAAATAAGTGGAAAGATAATTATGATCGGAATAGACCCCTAACTATTCAAGAATTGGAAGCTGCTATTGAAGAAATTCAAAATGAGACCGAAATTGATGCTGTTATAATACCACCAGATGTCGATGAACTTACTGATGAAGAGGAAATAGATGACGATTTATTGGAAGGTATTATACGGTATAATAATATAAGATACTGTTATGTAACTTTTATTTTTGTATTACTTATAGGCCATGATAAGTCTCAAGACACTGCTGGGACATTCGAATTGATGGCTGAGGACAACACAAATGAATTTGAAGATAATTATAATGAACCTTCTACAAGCCAGGCTACTTCAAAGAGGGCAATACTGTTCAATATAATCCAAACTGGAGCAAAAGGGACCCCGTATACAGTAATTTTCCGGAATCGCAGGAGCACATTCAAAAACAACGTATAAAGGACATGCTTTACGGTAAATCACCAGTTGAAGTATTTTATAATTTTTTTGACGAGGAATTATTAGACATGATTTTAAAATATACTTTAAAATATGCCAAGGATAACAATCTACATGATTTTTCAATGAACGTATCTGATTTAAAGAAATTTATTGCTATTTTGATCTTGTCAGAATATCACACGTTGCCACAAATGAAGATGTATTGGAGCAGAGATGAGGACAAGGGTGTACCATTAATTAAAAAAAGTCGCATCAGTCGAAATAAGTTTCGCAATATAAAAAAATATATACATGTACCTATGTGATAATGCTCAACTTGACAAGCAAGATAAGTTTGCTAAATTGCGCCCATTATTTGACAAAATAAACAAAAGAAATCTGCAGTTTGGTATATTTTCACAAAATTTATCAGTCGATGAGGAAATGGTTCCTTATTTTGGTAGACACTCCGCTAAAATGTTCATCAAAGGGAAGCCTGTTCGCTTCGGTTTTAAAATTTGGTGTCTTTGTTCTCAAGATGGATATTTGTTTCAGTTTAGTCCATACGCTGGAGCACAAGAACATAAAAGTGATATGCGACTGGGAGCAGATGTTGTTATAGATCTATTAAAAGTTCTTGAATTTCCTTCTCAACACAGAATATTTTTTGACAATTTTTTTTTTGTCTTTTAAACTATTTCAATATCTTACTGAAAATAATATATACGCCACAGGAACTGTGCGGGAAAACAGAATTCAAAAGTGTCCTTTAGATAGCTCAAATGATTTAAAAAAGGGGGCAGAGGTGCTTTCGATTTTAGATATGATTTAAAATCCAAAATTTGTGTAGTTAAAAGGAATGATAACTCAATCGTTATTATGATGTCAAATAATATACCAATCAATCCAATTCAGCAAGTAAAACGGTATGATAGAAAACAACGAAAAGAAGTAAGTGTAGATAGCCATTTCTAATAAAAGAATACCACAAAAATATGGGGGGTATTGATTTACACGATAACGGCATAGCCAATTATCGTATAAGAGTGAGGAAAGAAATGGTGATAAACAGTACAATCGTCAATGCATGGAAATTTTATAAATTGGCAAATGACTCTTCAATATCGCAATTAGAGTTTCGCTCTTATATTGTTATGGCGCTAATAAAATCAGAAGAAAGTAATTCATTATCATGTCATCTAAATGAATTGTTCTCCTATTTGTTACTACTAGATAAATGCAACAATAACACAAACAGTAATTTATCAATTGACTTTTAATAAATTAAATAAAAGTTTTCTTTTTTTAACTGTTTTTAAATTTAGTAATTTTTGTATACACACAGATACTGGGGTCATACAAAACAATATCATATTCAATTGTAATATGTTTAGAATTATGACCTTATTTCTTTAGGTTAGTTTAATAAATTTTATGTTGAAACATTGACAAGTTAAAGTTTCACTTCTTTATGATATTAATAAATATAAAATAATTTATATTGCCACAATACATCTAATGATAGGCCTATAATTTGTTGTACTAGTATCTAATAATAAAAACCACTGAATTGTCTTGAGAAAAAACTAATGACGATATAATAAAATTAAGAATAAAAATGTCAGAAATGTGTGTATAATAAGTAAGTGTTTGTGATTGTAAAGCAATTTTTAAAAATTTTAAATATAAGAATAAGTTTTATGTAAAAACATGACAGACTGTGTTAAGTTTTATCGACATTGTAGAAAATCATTGATGATCCAACCTCATTAAGTTTGTAAGTAGCGAATTTTTAATTAATTATACAAACTTGTAACAAACTATTTATCACATTTGTAGCTCCCTGATGAAGGACATAACCATGTTCGAAAGCTCGGAATAAAAATTTAAAAGAGTACACATATCATTTTTATTGCTGCAAACCCAATATTGAAGATCTTATATATATATATATATATATATATATATATATATATATATATATATATGTGTGTGTGTGTGTGTGTGTGAGTGTCAGAAGTGCAATGTACATTTACACTCTACATGTTTTGACAGCTTCCATAAATTGTAATATTAGGTTTTATAGTTTTTTTACAAATATTTTATTTAGTTTTACTGCTTTTGTATTTTTAATTTTGAAATAAATCTCATAATCCATAAAAGTGTATTTCATTAATTTCTTAACAGATTCCGCCATTGATGCGAAAACGCAACATTATTTTTTTAGAACACCCTGTAACCTAAAAAAATTATATCCAGTTTTGTCTTTAAATCACCATAAATAATTAACCCTTATATTATTTTTATAAAAAATTTACATATTTCATACCTTGGCGGTTAATGGGTTAATTTGGTAGGACCATCTAGTTGGTAACCGTCCTCTTGATCTTCTCCCCGGAACGTTTCCAGAAACAATTAATCTCTTCAAACTATCATCACCTCTGCAAGTCACGTCACCGAAAAATTGCATAATACGTTGTGGACACCTTTTTTTTTGTTCAAGGTGTGTAGAGCATCTTTTCCACCACATGTCAAAGGAATTAATTTATCAATTTGTTGGCGCTCGCATCCGCGAAAAGTCTAAGTCCCTGCCTCGTGTAGAAATATTAAGAATACAAGAGCATTCACCAGTCTCATCTTGATATATTGAGAGATAGATCTTTCCAAACTTTAATTAGGCGACTCATCGCATTTTTTGCTAAACCAATAAGTTTCCGAACTTCTGCTTGACAGCTACCGTTGTTAGTTATACTAGACCCTACGTAGACAAAATCTCTGTATCCTCTTCCGTTGTTAACAATTTTAATGATTTGATTCATGATCAAATTAAAGAGCATGGGGCTCAATAAATCCCCTTATCAGGGAATTCATTCCGGTGTCTACTTCTATAGGATCTGTAAGCTATTCATCTATTCTGACTTCCATTTTGTTGTTTTGGTAGAAGATTTTTTAGACAGTAATTCACAGTCCATTTATTATCGAAGATCCACGGCTTACGGCTTTTGGAAACTTTTTTTAGGGGTTTTTTTGTTAGGGACTTTAAAACGGTGTCTAACATTCAATATCAGGAGTTGATGATCGCTTCCACAGTCTGCGCCAGGAACTAGGGTCACTGGTAGACTGCAAAAACAACACATCTAAAGAAAAAAGAAAAATATTATGCATGGCTAAGTCCAGTGCTCACTTAAGGATTGGAAACATGGGTAATGACAATTAGAAATAAAGAATTACTACGGAGATTTGAAAAAACATTACTGAGTGCCTTATAAGGTGGGGTTAACGTACAGGATTTGTGAAGATAGCGGTATAATTTCTAACTCTAAAGACTTTTTGGTGATGCAGATATCGTAAATATCATCAAAATAAACCGCCTAATATGGGTAAGCCACGTTATGCGGATGGATGAAAGTGATCTTGCTAAAATAACCATGCTAAATTGGCTAGTCGGATGAAGAAGAGGGCGACCTAAACTAAAATATCTAGACGATGTGTAGGACCATTAAGGGGAAATTTCAGTAAGGGGGTGGAGAAGACAGACACTCGATAATGACGAATGATTGAAAAATGTTTTGAGGCATGCCAGGATTCATGAAGAGCTGCAGCGTCAACTGATGATGATAATGAACCA